TTGATCTCTTTTGAGGAGTTGTGATGTCAGAAGACCATACGGTACCACTAACAAAATTTCCAGCTGGTTACTTGTTGCACACTTTTATTCTGATCATAGAAATTAAACTCCATGGACACTTCCACTCACTTTGAAAGAATGACTAGCCCTAACTTGTCTTCACTTTTAATCCAAATATGTAAGTTAGTGCCCTTCTGTCTAGGAGATATTTAGCATTAGATTGGACACAGCTTTGGGATCAGCTTTGGGATCAGCTATAATTTTGAATACAAAATTACCTGAACATCAGAAATCTACTGCTTCTCTGTTCAATTCCTTCTCAACCACTTATCTATTTCTGCCACGAAGGCCTCCAGAAGAAGTCTCCAATGTTTCAGGAATGTAGAGAAATGAATACAGCAGTCCCAAGACATTAAAGGTAAAAACCCAGTTCTCAAACTGGCCTGTAATTGGTGAAGCATTGACATGAGATGTTTGTATCTCTTAATCCTTATTAAGAGTCTTCTAGTCACATATTGAAGTTTCTGAGCCATTTTCAAAAGGCTCCTTCTTTTGCCTTACAATGGTATGGACATCTAGACAAAGAGAGCCTTCCATCAGTTAATACCACAGCTGGTAAAGCAGCTGAAGCTGTGAAAAGGAGCTCAGAAACTAGAGGAGCTAGTTGTACCATCAGTAACAAATATCAACGCGCCCTTTTAGGAGAAGTGCTGGGAAATATTAATTGTTGCCTTAGCTTTAGAAAAGTGAGTCTAACTATAAGGGACTCTCCCAAATACTGAAAATTCTGAAAAGAATTTTCCAAAATGTCATACTGCATTATCATACTGTTAACATTTCACAGACTTTTGTGTAGCCTCTCCTTTTGATACTGAAATTGATTACCTAATGCTTCTACTACCCATCCATTCAATTAAAATGTCTGAAGTAGTTATTTCAACAACTTTTTTATCTGAATCTCAAGAAACTTATATTATGGTTGGTACTGATTGGCGCAGAGGGTTAAACCACTGAACTGCTGAACTTGCTGACCAAAAGTTAGCAGTTCGAACATGGGGAGTGGGTGGGCTCCTGCTGTTAGGCCCAGCTTCTGCCAACCTAGCAGAAGCTGGGCCTAACAGCCCAACCTAGCAGAAGCTGGGCCTAACAGCCCTGGAGGGAAGGTAAGAGCGCTCCATGCAGTCATGCTGGACACATGACCTTGGAGGTGTCTATGGACAACGCCAGCTCTTCAGCTTAGAAATGGAGATGAGCACCACCCCCTCAGTTGGACATGACTAGACTTAATGTCGGGGAAACCTTTACCTTTACCTCTTGGTCCTGGAATGCAGAGGTGAGGGGTCTTCCATTAAAATAATTTCAGCTTTTTTATCCAAGTGTGAAGGCTTAAAGGTGTCTGGAGACAGACTTCTTGAACTCACCAGGTTACTTTGGGTCAGTTTCCCAACCTCACAGGATTACAATGGATGAATAGGGAAAAAAGCCAGAATAGCAGCATACTTTGCAAATCTTTTCAGCTATCCCGACCTCTGCTTCTGACAGCAAAAGGTAAAAGACAAATGAAGTCTCAGGCAAGATATCTTGCATCAAATCCACTAAGGTGCTCTCAGACACATATCTGAAGCTGCCCCAATAGACCTCGTAAATCCACATTAATCATTTAAAGTACCAGAAACACCTACAATAAGGACACCTTCTGTCACTGAATTGAGGAACCTAAAGTCCTGCCCTCCTGGTTCAACAAACTTTCTGCCTCTCTGGTCAAATGTACTTCCCTTCAGAACTAACTCTTTGTGGGGCCAAATGTAGTCTAATACACCCCTTTCCTCCTCCTTATGAAACCATCACCAGATCACAGAACCACAGAGTTGGAAAAGACCACAAGGGTCATCCAATCCAATGCCCTACCATGCAATAATACACAATTGAACGGTTGACCAACCAATCCAACGGAATTGAACGGCTGGCCATCCAATCTGGTTTAAAAACCTTCAAACAAGGAGAGTTCACTGCACTCTGAGGCAATATATTCCATGGTTGGAATTTCCACCACAAAATGTTTTTTCCCCATAGTATTCAGATGAAATGTCTTTTCCTCTAGTTTAAATCCACAGTTTTGCCACCATGAGCACCAGAAAACAACAACCTTGCACCGTCTTCAATATAACATCCTTTCAAATATTTAAACATGGCTGTCATGCCCAGCTCTCTAAGCCATTCCTCAGGCCCCTTCCACACAGCTGAATGAAATCCCACATTATCTCCACTGAACTGGGATATATGGCAGTATGGACTCAAATATTCCAGTTCAAAGCAGATACTATGGGTTATTCTGCCTTGATATTTTGGGTTATATGGCTGTGTGGAAGGGCGCTCAGGATTCCTGGCCTTTGATCCCTTTGGGCTGCCCTTCTCTGGACACGTTCCAGCTTGTCAATAGCTTCCTTGAACTGTGGTGGCCAGGACTGGGCTAAGCATTTTAAGTGAGGCCCAACCAAAGCAGAATTGAGTGGGACATTTATTTTCCTTTATTGACACTACTTGTATTGATGTAGCCTAGAATCCTGTTAGGGTTTTTTAAACTACCGCAACACACTCCTGACTCATTTTCAGGTTATGGTCTACTAAGATTCCCTAGAGTCCTTTCACACTTTTGAGGACAAGTCAGGTTTCACTCATCTTATACTGTGAATTTCCATTTTTGGTTTCTTTGGTAGATTTGGCCAGTTCTCTAATCTTTTCCAGGTCATTTTTGACCAGATCCTCTCCTCTGGGTATTAAGCTGTCCCTCCCAATTTGGTGTCATCTATAGATTTGATAAGCTTGCCCTCTATTCCACTATCCAAGTCATTGATAAAAATGTTGATAGCAGTGGGCCTAAGAATCAACCCTGCGGTGCACCACTAGTCACTTCTTTCAGGTTGAAGAGGAACCATTATGGAACCCCCTTGGGGTTTGGCTAGTCAACCAATTACAAATCTACTCAAGAGTAGCAATATTTAGCCCACATTTCCCTAGCTTATTTGCTTCATTAAGATCAAGATACAATACATCCACAGGACTCTCTTCAAAAAGCTGCCCAAACCTATCCTAGAAGCAAATAAGAACTCATTTCCATAGTTGAAATGCTACCATTCTTGAAAATGGTTAGTTCTCCTAATTTGGGTCCTTGCGCCAGTTATCCTCTTCCCACTAAACACGTCTTTGAGTAGATTTCCCATCCTAAATGGGATTTATGGGAGTTGCACCCTAACCTACCTGGATGGCATCAGGTGAAGGAATGCTCATGGTCATATCAGGCTTGGTAAAACACAAGATGACTCAATTAGGAAAATTACTAGGCAGTCATTGCACTCTCACAGACCAAGCTACTTAGTAGGGTTCTTGGGAGGAGAAACAGGGTGTGGATAAAAAGACAACAAACACATATATGGCCCCATCTACTCTGTCCATTTAATGCAGTTCAAAATTAACTTAAAACTGTGCCGGTCAGACAACAAACTCCCAGATAGAAAGCCCTGAAGATACACCAGTACTCTGTGCTTCATGGAGTCAGGGCCTCAAACGGTTCCAAGATTTCCTATATGTGCAAAGGCTGGAAAAATTGGCTTGTTGTGGAAACATGGATTGGGGATTAAGGCTTCAGTGGACACCCGCTTCCCCCATAATAACTCTTCTAGGAGTGGATTTCCCTTCTGAGGGGGAAATTTCTTTCACTTTCTGACCCCCATTCTTAACTAGGAGTCGGATGCAAATCGAATGTTTGTAACTCAGGGACGGCCTGTGTGTATATAGAGAGAGATTTCGTACACACATACATATATCAGGAAAGAGAGAGATCGATAGATAGGAGAGAAATCCAGCTCCAAATATACACACAAAATGTGTGTATGTATATATAGAGGGGAGGGGGAGAGAGAAAGAATGAAGTAGAGATAAAACTGGATCCAAATACACATGCAAAGTATATGTGTTTGTGTACAGAGAGTCAAGAGAGAGAAACACTATAAACACACCCGCATTTACTCCAGTCTAATGTACCATTGAATCTAATGCATAACTCAGTTTTTAAAACCCTGAAATGCAAGAAACGTATTTACCATATTATGTGAATCTAATGCACACCTTAATTTTGGGAAGGTACTTTAGTAAAAAAAGGTGGGTATTAGAATTGAGTAAATACGGTATATTCTCTCTTTATATATATATATATATATATATATCACATATACATATAATGAGAGAGGATTTATAAATATTTTCTATATAGAGAAATGTTTATATATATATATATATATAGAGAGAGAGAGAGCGAACACACACACACACATATATAGAGAGAGGGGTTATATATAGGTTGCATATATATATAGAGTGAAGATATATAGAGAGAGATATAGGTTATATATAGAATACTTATATATAATGAGCACGCTTACATATAGGTATATATATATATACAGAGAAAGACCTTATATCTAGGTTTTACAGAGAGAGAGGGAGAGATTACATATAGGTTTTACATGTGTGTGTATATATCTATCCATATAAAGAGAGAGGTAAATTTCTACCATGTGATTACACACACAGGCTATATAGAGAGAGGGGGAGCGAGGTTATATATATATATATATATAGAGAGAGAGAGAGCTTATATAGAGAGGGGGAGAGAAAGCTTATGCAGAGGGGGTTATATCTAGGTTTAACTGAACGAGAGGGAGAGGTTACATAGAGGTTTTAAATGTGTGTGTGTGTACATCTCTATATATAGAGATACATTTTTGCCACGCGAATATGTATACATATATATATATAGAGAGAGAGAAGGGCCAACTTGGGCCCTCGAGGGGGTTTGGACTCCGTCTCCCACCACTCCTAACAGCCTACCGGCTGTTTGAATTGTTGGGAGTTGGAGTCCAACCCCCCCCCCCTCCCGAGGGCGGGCCGAAGTAGGCCCAGGCCTGAGGGAGCGAGCGAGCGAGCGAGGCCTGCTTGCTTACCGTGTGGCGGCGGCGGCGGCGAGGGGGGCCCTGCTCCTCCTCCTCCTCCCCTGAGGAAGGCCGGCACGAACTCGGCGGCGTGAACGTTGGGCACGAAGGGCTTGGCGTTGACGTTGAGGAGGCGGCTGAAGGCCGCGCCCAGCCGCTCCTGCTCCTCGGCATCCAGCTGGGCCGCGGGGTGGGCCTCTCCGCCGGCTTCTCCCTCAGGAGCGGCGGGGCCGGGCAAGAGGCCTTCGCTGGCGGCGTCTCCTCCTCCTCCCGCTCCGCCACTGCCGGGCTCCACCTCCGGCTGGTCCCAACAGTCCGGCGCCGAGTCGCTGCTGCTACCGCTGCCACCGTTGTTGGCCTCCATTTTGACAGGCAGAAAAAGCCGAGGGAAGGCGAGCGCGGCGCCGGCGTCCGGACCAACTCAGCACTCCTCCGCGTGCGAGCGAGGCAGGCAAGTCCTTTGGCCCCTTCAGCCCTCCGTAGACCTCTCCCTCGGACGCCATTTTGGTAGTTCCCTCCACATTGACTTCCCATTCCATTGCACGGGCGTCTCTACGCCTCCCGAACTACGACTCCCAAGAAGCTGTGCGCCGGTTCGCTGACAGGGAGCTGATTCGTTTTTCTTTACGTATGAGTCAGCGCATACGCACGCCGCAAACGACAAATCCCGGCGGCCTTTGCGAGGAGGGAGACTCATATTGTATTATTATTGTCTTACGTTGTAATATTATCAACATTATATGTATATTATATGGATATGCAATATATTATATTCTTAGTATAGCACAATACTAATATATTACTATGCTGTACTATACCACTGTACTGCAATATTGTTAGTAATATTAAGGTTAACCTTAATATTATTGGAATATTATTAGTAATATTACATGTAACAAACAATTATATTGCTATATATTATTATGTTGTATTATTATTAGTATTATATTGTATTGCATTATAATATTATCAATATTATATATATATATGTACACAGTATTATATTCTTAGCATAGCACAATATTAGTATATGTTACTATACTGAACTACACCACTATACTGCAATATTATTAGTAATATTATATGTAATGTATAATATGCAGTTATTATATTTTTATATATTGTTATGTTGTATTATTATTACATTGTATTGCATTATAATATTATCAATATTATATTGTAATTGTAATATTATCAATATGATCAATATATATTATCAATATTATGTATTATCAATATTATATGTATATGCAATATATTATATTCTTAGCATAGCACAATATTAGTATTCTATATTACTATGCTGTTCTATAGCACTGTACTGCAATATATATAGTAATATATAATATTCAATTATTATAGTATTATATATTATTATGTTGTATTATCAATATTACTATTACTGTAGTATTAGTGACTGGATTTATTATTATTTATTTATTTATTTACTTTGCTTATATACCGCTGTTCTCAGCCCAAGGGCGACTCACAGCGGCGTACAACATAGAAAGAACAAGGTTCAAAATACACGACACAATATAAAATAATCCACAATCCATCATTAACAAAAACCATCATCATCAAAAAACATCATCATTACTACAAAAGCCATTCCACGTCGTCTCATCGTCAAAACCACAATCCAGTATCATTTTCCGTTGTTCCATTCCTATAGTCAATTACCAATCATTACACTTCTTGTTCGAACGCCTTCTTGAACAGCCAAGTCTTTAATTTCCTGTGGAATATCATCAGGGAAGGAGCCAGTCTGATGTCCACGGGAAGGGTGTTCCACAGCCGAGGAGCCACCACCGAGAAGGCCCTATCTCTCGTCCCCGCCAGCCGTGCCTGTGAAGCAGGCAGGATCAAGAGCAGAGCCTCCCCGGAAGATCTCAAAGTCCTCGTGGGCTCATAGATCGAGAGGCGGTCAATTAGGTATCTTGGGCCGGAACCGTTTAGGGCTTTATAGGCCAGTGCCAGCACCTTGAATTGAGCCCGGTAGCAGATCGGCAGCCAGTGGAGCTGGTACAACAAGGGGGTTGTATGCTCCCTGCGTCCCGCTCCTGTTAGTATCATGGCTGCCGCACGTTGGACCATGGAGCTTCCGGGCCGTCTTCAAAGGCAACCCCACGTAGAGAGCGTTGCAGTAGTCTAAACGGGATGTAACCAGAGCGTGGACTACCGTGGCCAAGTCAGACTTCCCAAGGTACGGGCGCAGCTGGCGCACGAGCCTAAGCTGTGCAAATGCTCCCCTGGTCACCGCCGAGACCTGGGGCTCCAGGCTCAGCGATGAATCCAGGATCACACCCAAGCTGCGAACCTGCGCCTTCAAGGGGAGTGCGACCCCATCCAGCACAGGCTGTAACCCTATACCCTGTTCGGCCTTGCGACTGACCAGGAGTACCTCTGTCTTGTCTGGATTCAATTTCAATTTGTTCGCCCTCATCCAGACCGTAACAGCGGCCTCGCCCCCATCCAGACCGTCACAGCCTCCTTAGTAGCAGGTGGAAAGGAGTGACAGAGTTGGACATCATCTGCGTACAGATGACACCGTACCCCGAAACTCCGGATGATCTCTCCCAGCGGCTTCATGTAGATGTTAAACAACATGGGAGACAGTATTGAACCCTGTGGAACCCCACAAGACAAAGGTTGTGGGGTTGAACAGGTGTCCCCCAATAACACCTTCTGGGATCGGCCCTCCAGGAATGACCGGAGCCACTGTAAAACAGTGCCCCCGAGACCCATCCCCGTGAGGCGTTCCAGAAGGATACCGTGGTCGACAGTATCGAAGGCCACTGAGAGGTCCAGCAGCACCAACAGGGACACACTCCCCCTGTCGAGCTCCCGGCGCAATCTTTTAAATCTATGAGACTATATCTGTGTGTGTGAGAATCATATCTATATTTATGACTGGATGGCTCTTTGTCAGGAGGGCTCTGATTACATTTTCTTGCCCTGGTGAAGAGAGTTGGACTGGATGGCCTTAAGTATTTTCTGTTGGTCATGGGGGTTCTGTGTGGGAAGTTTGCCCCATTTCTGTCGTTTGTGGGTTTCAGAATGCCCTTTAATTGTAAACTATAAATCCCAGTAACTACAAATCCCAAATGTCAAGGTCTATTTCCTCCAAACTCCATCTGTGTTCATATTTGGCATATGGAATTTTTGTGTCAAGTTTGGTCCAGCTCCATCATTGTTTGAGTCCACAGTGCTCTCTGGATGTAGGTGAACTACAACTCCCAAACTCAAGGTCAATGCCCACCAAACCCTTCCAGTATTTTCTGTTGGTCATGGGAGTTCTGTGTTGCCAAGTTTGGTTCAATTCCATCATTGGTGGAGTTCAGAATGCTCTTTGATTGTAGGTGAACTATAAATCCCAGCAACTACAACTGCCAAATGTCAAGGTCTATTTCCCTTAAACTCCATCTGTGTTCATATTTGGGCATATGGAATATTCGTGCCAAGTTTGGTCCAGATCCATCATTGTTTGAGTCCACAGTGCTCTCTGATGTGGGTGAACTATAATTCCCAAACTCAAGGTCAATGTCCACCAAACCTTTCCAGTTTTTTCTGTTGGTCATGGGAGCCCTGTGTGCTAAGTTTGGCCCAATTCCATCATTGGTGGAGTTCAGAATGCTCTTTGATTGTAGGTGAACTATAAATCCCAGCAACGACAATTCCCAAATGACAAAATCAATTTTTTGAGTGGAGGACATAAATTGGACTGTTAGGTGTCTTGTGTCCAAATTTGGTGTCAATTCCCCCAGTGGTTTTTGAGTTCTGATGGTAGCACGAACTAACATAACATTTTTATTTATTTATTTATTTACTTTACTTTACTTCTATATCGCTGTTCTCAGCCCGGAGGCGACTCACAGAGGTTTACAAGACACAAGACACAGCAAAATTCAATGCACCAATATAATTTTTATTTATATAGATTCTACTGTACTACTATACTGCAATATTATTAGTAATATTACATGTAACTTACAACATACAATTATTCGATTATTATATTGTAGTACTATTCGTATTATATTGTATTCCATTATAATATTATCAATATTATATGTATATACAATATATTATATTCCTAACATACCACAGTCTTAATGTTCTATATTACTGTACTGTACAACACTACTGTACTGCAATATTATTAGTAATATTACATGTAATATATAATATACAATAATCAAAGTGCTTTGATTAAACGGAAATCGCCCTTCAGAGGAGTGGTAGAACTACTGACTTGTGCAAACGCCCGCCCTCTCAGTATTTTGGACTTCAACTCCCACAATTCCTAGCCGCCCACAGGAATTTATTTCGGCCTTTTAGGCATTGTGGGAGTTGTAGTCCAGAAGGCCCAGAAAGGGGCGCATGCGCGATCATGGGTMCCGTGAGGGGACTCCGGACGCGGGAGGCTCCCTTCAGGATGGCGCCAGCTTCCGGGTCGCATCATTTGCTTCCGGGGGGGGGGGGAGCTGAGGATGACTTCGGTAGCAAGTCGAGCCCTCCTGACGGGAGGTTTGCCGAGCTAGAGCGCCGGGAGACGAGGAGGGAGGAAGAGGAGGAAAGAGGCGCCGCCATGAGCGGTGAGTGTGGCCCTTCGCTTCCCTCAGAGCCTCCTATGCAACTCCCAGGTAGGCTTTGGCCTGCAAGTAGGCCTCTTGGCCAGAAGCACCTCCGGATAAAACGCCGAAGCTTTCTGTTTTGGCTTTTGTTGCAATTAGCAAGCTTGCATAGCATTGAGTAGCCTTTAAGTTGCAAAGTCAATCAGTGAGAGTATCTGCATGGAGGTAGCCTGGCCGTTGTTTCCTGGAGGCACCCTCGGTTTGGGAAGTGTTTACTGGCACTTGATTGCTTGCTGTCTGGAATTCTGTTTCTGAGTAGTGTTCTTTATTTACAGTTTGGATTCTGGTGTTTTTTTTAATAGGGGTAACCAGATTGTGTTCATTTTCATGGTCTCCTCCTTTCTGTTGAAATTGTCCACGTGCTTCTTGTGGATTTCAAGGACTTATGTGTGTAATCAGAGTGGACCAGCCTTTCTGTGTTCTCAAATAATACTCCAGGTCGAGGTTGGTTCATCAAGTGTGTTGCTATGACTGACTTCTCTGGTTGAATCAGTCTGCAGCGCCTTTCAGAATCAAGACATTAAATAAGGAACACCACTCAGAAACAGGAGAACTCCAGACAGCAAATAACGCCTCCCAAATAAAGGATGTCTCCAGGCAACAACAGCCTCTGTGCAAATGCCCTCACTGATTGACTTTGCAGCTGCAAGGCTACTTAATGCTAATCAAACTTGCTAATTGCAATATTCACCCATGCTTCAAATAGACAAGGCTTCTTTCTCCCACTCTGGACATTATTCCACAGGATGGGAGACCCCACTTGCCTCACTACCAACAGAACCTCTGAGGATGCATTAGCCACAGATGCAAGCAAAACGTCAGGGGAGAATGTTGCTGGAATATGAT